TATTTATTTATTTGAGAGAGAGAGAATGAGAGACAGAGAGCATGAGGGGGAGGAGGGTCAGAGGGAGAAGCAGACTCCCTGCCGAGCAGGGAGCCTGATGCAGGACTGGATTCCGGGACTCCAGGATCATGACCTGAGCCGAAGGCAGTCGCTTAACCAACTGAGCCACCCAGGCGCCCCGACAAAGGTTATTTAAATGTGAAATATTATTACAGTATTCAGGAGTTAGGAGTTGATTAAGTTTAACGGGTTACTTTTTCATATTTAGGGGAAAAATCTAGGACTATATTTTAAAACTCCATATGGTAATTAAATTTGTTTGAAAGCCTATTAACTTAACTGCTTCAAATATAATTTTCATCAACATAGAATAAACACAACTCCAAACCAAAACGTCCATTATCGGCCAGTCTAGTAGAAGATTTCTAATTAAAATTATAGATTCTCCTCATTGGTTGCTGCCCAGAGAATTCAAATACTTCAGTCTTCTTTTTGTAAGCTGATAGCTGAGTTCTAAAGGAAAGCCTCCTTCTTAAGAACAACCAGAATTCAAAGAAATTCAAAGCTATTCATTTTGGTGAATTGCAACCTGTCATCAATAACTATTTATTGAATGTCCACAGGGTGCCTAGGCATTGAAGTGGCAAGTGATTTATTTGCATTATTCAAAGGATTTCTAAGGGGAGCCTGAAGATTTGCAGACGTCTTTAAAGATGCAAAGTGGTATTTGCTTCTTTTAATTTAAACTGCCCCTACCAGGAATGAATTGAATAGTCTGGGTTTCAGAGCCCTAGGGATTTCTAGCACTCAGAGCCGACTTTTGTAAGCGAAGACCCCATTGGGTGCCAAGCAACATGGGGCTGGTGGTCAGAACATGGCCCCACTGGGGTCTTCTGGACAAGTCAAGCCCTCCCCGGGCTCAAGTAGGGCGGACTGCGTCAACGGCGGCCCTGACCCGCCGCCACCCCATCCCTCCCCTCCTACCCCTCCAGTCCCACCCCCCCATATCAGGCTCACACCCTCTCCCAGTCTCCTAGCTCCGACCGGTTCTCGCGAGATCCGGGCAACTGAGCGCTCGGGGCCTTTTCAAATCGGGATCCGTTACCGCTTTCCCGGCCGCCGCCATTGTAGCGCTCGGAGCCCCTGAGCGCAGGCGGCGGAGGCGGAGGCAGCGGTAACGGGATGGCGGACGCCGACAAGCCCGAGGTGCTCGGGACCGCTGGCGACGACAGTCCGCATCAGCAGCCCGTGGAGCAGCCGGGCGAGCCGCGGCGAGAACCGCACCCGCCGGAGCCGGAGAAGCAGCCGCCGCAGCACAGCAGCAGCTCCAATGGCGTTAAAATGTATTGTCTTTTTCTCTGGGGACTGGGGCAGTGTGTGTGGGGGGGGGCGGGGAGTCGGCCTGTGGCGGGGGGGGGGGGGGGGGGGCGGCGCGGGGGGGGGGGGGGGGTCGAAGCCGTCCTGGGCCTCGGTGAGGGATAACCGCCCCCGGGCCGTGGGCGGCGGGAGGAGCAGGTGCAAGCCGGGCCGCTCCCAGGCCTTACCCTCCCGCCCCATGCGGGGGGAGCCCGGTTGTGAGCCCGGCGCGGACGCCCCTCCCCTGTTTCCAACCCGAGACTGTGGGTCACCCCTTCCCAGACTTCAGCTGGAGAACCTTTGAGCAAAGCTCCGCGGCCGCCTTGGTCTGCAGGAAAATGGTCCCTCTTTTAAAGCCCAGTACCGTAGTTAGTGTTCATCACTAGGGAGTAACTAGGGATGACATCATCGGACATTTCCTCTTAACTACCGAGAACGTATTTAAAAGGAATATTCCCCCTTCTCCCGGCCTCATTCCGAGCTTTATAAGTTCAGTGTTTATTGTTGCTTTCCAAAGTATATATTAATTTCTGAACTGATACATGCCGAGAGGAAGTTTAATAATGTGCTGTTAGCCTGAATCCATTGTTTTATTCTTGAACTGGTAAGAGGTTATTCTGAAAGGGAAATGTGCGTGGAAATCTTGCTCCGCCCCTCAAATGTTTAAGTCGTGCAGGTTATTTTTAAAGAACTCATCGTGTGATGGTTTGTTCTTAATTTTGGTAAATTGGTAAAATAAGATTTTTTTTTAATTGAAGAAAGCCCGCTACTTTTAAGATTGCCCCAGTCATCAGTGCTTATAAAGGATTTAGTTGACTTGAATCCATAATTTCTAGTTATAAGAAAATATTATGCTCCCCATTGTTCTTGTTATGTAGGGGATATGAATCAGGCATTCTTTTGCATGTGCCCAGCTCTTTAAACTTGAAGTTGAAAGTATGTTAATAATTTAGCCAAAACATCCTTTTCCTTCTCTCAGTTATGCTTCAGAGTAGAAAGCAGTGAACGTATGGTCACACTAAAATAGGAAAGAGAAATGTTCTTTTGTATAAAATGTGTAAAGCAGTAGGGTAAGACCTGGACTAGTTTGTGTAGGGGTTGAGTGCAGATAAGGTAGCTGTCCCAGCTCAGTTATGACACTCTTGTTCTCAGTTGGGTTTGAATAGCATAAGTTGCATCTAGGCAGAATAGAGGTGCAGGTATAAGAGATTCAACCTCAGTGGAATTTGTTCTTAGGTGCAAAGTGGTGCACCTCAGTAACTGAGCTGCTGGAAAGTGAGCACTTTCTATCATGCCTGCGGAAATGTTGGCTGTCTGGGATTTGGCATCATAAATTCGAATAAAAAGCATTGCAATGCTAAACTTAAAATATGTGCCTTTTGTTTATATCTAAAATGGGCTTGCCACCCTTTTCTCCTGAACAAAAAGTACAGCCTTGAATTACAGAGAGAAGCCCTACATACTTGGGTATGGTTAGTATAATAGTGGCAGTACAGGTAAAGCTGGCATCTAAACCTCCCAGAACTAAAAGTCTCTAATCCTTTTTAAAGTCTCATTTTGGTTTACCTGGACAGGAGAGGACAGAGGTGGGAAAAGAATGTCTTTCACTTCCAGTTGAAGATGAAGAGAATATAAAGTCAAGAAATTAAGAAATGTTACTAGTAAATACAAATGAAGATTCTTTCGTATTGCTTATAATTCATCTCTTGCCCTTCCTCTTTTCCCAAAAGTTGAGTAAAGATGCAAATTTACTCTCAAGGGTTTCTTGTACTGTCAATTCCATAAGAACCATAATATATAGTGGTCCAGCATGGGTCACTCATACTGAATAACTAGGGACATTTACCTGCATCAACCTAACAACCTTTTTTTGACTCTAAGAACCAACAGGAGTAGTTAATAATCCAACACATAACCCTTGAGTTGATTACCATATAATTTTAAGGATAAGAATTCACAGAGATTATAAAAATTACCAAATATTGCCTTACTTAGAAGTGAACAGAGTGCCACTTACAAAGATTGAAATGACTTTTCTGAGGTTAATCCATAGTCATTGAGGATGGAGACCACCATGTCTTATTCATCTTTGTATCCTCAAGGCCTTTACTTTAAAAGGCCCAGGAAATTTGTTTAAGAAATGCAGATGTGAATTTTTGTGATCATGAAACTTAGGCACAGAGGATTTCATGGGCATGTTCACATCTTTTGACAAGAAATCAAAGGTGTTTTCCTAGGCCTCGTCTTTTTGTTTATGCCAAAATGTTTGTATTCCAACTCTCCTTTTCTTAAGTGACAAGGAGGAAAAATAGCAGTATTGTTACAACTCTTTATTACTTCTGTGTGATTAAGTAACACCGTATATAGAGATTGAGAGTTACATTAGGGTATAAAATATTGTGTAAAATATTAAGCATTGAAGCAAGGTGAAGTGTTTGAAGTAGAGTAGTATTTTTTTTTTTTAAATCATATTGGGAGTAAAGAAGGGAACTGTGCTTAATTTTAGATCTCATACTATAGCACTGTTTTTAAAATCATATTAAAACTGTGTTTCCTTACTTGATGTTGAGTATTGATTTTTCAGAATTTTATATTATAATTTGGGTAGGCATAATTCCATCTTAAGAGCAGATAACATTTTCGTCACTTAAAATAGTCACAGTCTTTATTTCCAGTACATTAAGAAGGGGGTTTGTTGGGCGCCTGGGTGGCTCAGTTGGTTGAGCAACTGCCTTCGGCTCAGGTCATGATCCTGGAGTCCCGGGATTGAGTCTCGCATCGGGCTCCCTGCTCAGCAGGGAGTCTGCTTCTCCCTCTGACCCTCCCCCCTCTCATGTATTCTCTCTCTCTCTCTCAAATAAATAAATAAAATCTTTAAAAAAAAAAAAAGGGGGTTTGTTTAAATGAATAGTTTGGGCATTATTACATGGAATTCTGGATATAGTGCCAATATTTGATATTATGTAGCATCATTTCTCTAATAAGAGTTTTCACATGTATCTTAACTGTCTATCCCATCGTGTATTTATGGCATAAAAAGAGATGAGGAATTGAATAATTAAAGCTTAGTTTCTTAATAATCAGACCATACCTCTAGCCACTAAACTGATCTGCCTTCCATAGATAATTTATGCATTGTAGATGAGCAGTGTAGCAGTATTTTTAATATGCTGCTAATTGGGAAAAACTTGAAGTAATTGCTCTCTCTGGTCATTGTTGGAATAAACATTTTAGAGAGGGTATCCTACCCTACCTAATATTGCTTTATTATTAATGGAATTATCAGATTGTTGTAAGCAAACACAACATTCATATAAAAATAGAAGAACATAGCATTTCAGAACCTTGTGCCGTTTTCATAATTGGTTTCATCCAGGAAGAAAATAGGTAGGAGAAGGCGCATTGAGCTAGAGACTACATAGATGTCTGCTTACCTGAACAGAGAGTTAGTTATTTTATAAAGACATTCATTGAATTCAGTCTACTATGTAAATGAGCTCTTTGGGGGGTTAAAAAGAAGAGTTCCTGTATCTACTGTACTCAGAAACCAGAGAAAAGGCCTCTGTACCTTTTGGCTGCTTCCTGCCATTTTCAGAAGTGGCACACTGTTCAGACAGGTAGGTACTTGGTGGAGTTGGACAGCTGTGAAGACCACTTCTAGGCTGTGCCATTTCTGGTGAGAGAAGATGTTTGACAGGAAAGGTGCCCCTTTCGAGGTCGGAAGAGGTGGCAGAGCAAGTTTGGCCCTTAATGTCTCTTCCTTGATTTTAGCAGTTTTTCTGGCAGACAGCAGTACCATCTGTGCTCAGATTAGGATGGGTTCTTAATTGACTGTTCATGCATTCAAAAATTAATATTTATTGAGTGACATGGTATGTGCAGTCACAATGCTAGATGCTGCTCATAGCAAAGCAGATAGTTTTTGTTCTTACAGAATTTTACATACTATGTTTATGGCTGTGTTGTTACCTGTTCAGAAAAGTAGTGCCTAGAAAGTTCAGTATATCATGGAACAGATGACCACAATAAGTGTGTGTGGAGCACTACAGTGTGTAGATTCCCACAGTTGCTTGGCTTAGAAGATAAATTAGAGCGTGGATTATGAAGCCTGTTTTGTTGTTAGAATACGCCAGAGGCTTTAAAAGATTTGGATTTCTGAATGTCATTCCCAGAGATTTTTATTAGTATATGTTTGTGGAAAATTACTTTATTTATTTATTTATTTATATTTTTAGAGAGGGGGAGAGAGAGAGCCTGGGCGGAGGGGCAGCGCATATGGGGAGGGGCAGAGGGAGAGGGAAAGAAGGATTCCTAAGGGCCCCACACCCAATGCGGAGCCAGATGCAGGGCTCTGAGATCATGACCTGAGCGGAAATAAAGAGTCGGATGCTTAACCAGCTGAGCCACCTAGGCACCGTTTGGAAAATTACTTTAAATTGAAGTTTTAATTAAATAGTTTTAGATTCACTAGAATAATTAGTGATTTAAAAGAAATCTATTGTTATTTCTTCTGTAAAAAAAGATTTTTTAAAAAGTAATTTTTTAAAAATTGCATTTTTACAATACATACCCAGATTTTTATCTGTAAGATTTACTTTAAGCATATATTTACATGTTATGGATGGTTGGTGGGTAGCATCATATAGTTGCATTATGATTGCAGTCTTATAAATTAAATATTTTTCCAGTTAGGGTCTCATTAAAAAGATTTATAAAATTCTGATTTGTGTTGCCTTTATGTACTGCTTCCCATCTCCACTCCCACTCCATCCCACCTTCTAGGTAATAACTACCAGTAAAAATTGTATGATTCTATGAGGTACCCTATCCTAGTTTATAAGTTAATACACAGAAAATATTGAGTATGAAAATATTAGTATACCTTATCAATTAATTACATTGATCAAAATTGGGAATAGAAAAAATTTACAAGTCATATGGGAATGTATGCATATATAGATAATATAACTATGTATTTTAGTTATGTTTTTAAGCAAGGAGGAGAAAAGTTATGTGACGAAACTATTAACCTTAAGGAGATGGAACTTTTTTCAGGGTATCCTTTTGCAAATTAATTCTTTATAGAGTTCTGATTGAAGCTTCTTTAAAGAAGGCAGTTATATCTATTGTAGGAATAAAATCACCCATTTTCCCCTCTTGCTAGGTTCTAATAATATTTATTAAGTAGTATGATGGGAAAAGCTGGGAGCCTGGATGCTGCAGCTATTTAATATGGAAAAAAAGGAGGATTGTTAAATGAAAAGTTTGGTAAGATGCCCAAATCCTTGCTTTGAAATGGCACTGGGTAATTTCAAAGCAAGCAAGCTGGCTCTTCAGCTGCTTTGCTAAGGTGTAACTTAATGGAGAGTGTTGTGAAGTGATAAATATAAAATATTTATGTAATGTAGGCTTCTATTATTAGAAACATGACTGAGGTTTTCTTCTTGTTTTGTTTTTAATTCATAGGGAGAATGATGAATCAGTCAAAGAAGATAAATCTGAATTAAAAGAAAAATCTTCAGGAAATAAGAAGGCCAATAGATTTCATCCTTATTCAAAAGACAAGAATTCAGGCACAGGAGAAAAGAAGGGTCCAAATCGAAACAGAGTTTTCATTAGCAACATCCCATATGACATGAAATGGCAAGCTATTAAAGATCTAATGAGAGAAAAAGGTAACCATCCCTGATAAACCCACTGTTGGATAATCTTCATATAGAAGGGGGAGGGAACTAAGTAAAAGTTTTTTATTCCCTTGAGCCACACAGACTCAAAAAATTGATTTTTGTTTATTTCTTGACGTGAATTAATCTTTTCCTTCTCTTTCACTTGACACAATTTCATTACAAAGTCATATGGATAAATGAAGTTTTTTTTTCCCATTTTAGTGGTATAGTAGTGAGCCAGCATATGCATGCCACCAAGAACTTTGTTAAAGTGATTGCTTTGTCTAGTTGAAGTTTTTATAGATTTTTAAAGGACTATTGCATTAGTTAAGCAATACATTTAGCGTGTTAAAGTATGAATAATAAGGTCTGATTATTTTTTTCCAAAAGCTGTTTTGTTATTATCTTGGTGGAGTCTGGAATCTGGCTGTGGAGTTCATTTTGTTTGCATTGTCATGAATGCCATGATGCTGTCTCTGCAGTTCTATATTAAAATTGCGTTACTGCTGTTGCAGTTTTGTTTTTAGAATAACCTGAAAACCTTCATTTTATATACATGGTTGGTTTTGGGGAAAAATAATTTTAATATTTGATCTTGTAAAAGTTAGTTTTGTTATCTCTTGAAAAATTGAGTTTCAACAGTCCTGCAAACTATGTACTTGGCTTTGAGGCTGATCTCTTCTAATAAATAAAAAAAAAATTTGCATTGGTGTATCTGTTGTAAGGTGACAACTATTTGATTGGTTTTATTCATTGACTTTATTTAGAAAGTGTGTGGCTTGCTGTGAAGCATGACTTGTAAATTTAGTTTACTGATGGCAAATATGATTGAAGACATTCAGGTAGAAAGTCACCTTAAAACAGCTGTTGTGTGTAGGCGACCAAAGTTATTTGAAAAGTGTTAATGTTGATGTTTTTAATATGATAGGCTAAGGGACCATTTGTATGTATATGTGCATTTGTTCACCAACTATATCATGCTGGCCAAAATATGATCTGTAGCATGAATTAGGTTAATATGGTTGTTAGCTTTTTTTAGAGAACGTGGATGATGTACATTTCAGAAAATTAGTTAAATTTACATAGCCATTGATAGGAGGTATGTTGGTCTGGTTTTGATTGTTGGTGAATAATAGGTGCTTTTCTGTAGAGTTGTGCACAGGTGTGCAGTAAAGCAAGATATTGGTGTTTAAATGTATTGTTTCTTGGTATCTTCCTTTTGTATGTCTTATGTAGTTGGTGAGGTTACATACGTGGAGCTCTTTAAGGATGCGGAAGGAAAATCAAGGGTAAGTGCTGTGGGCAATATCTGCTTGAGGTTTAAAAGTTCCTCAGCAGTTTACTTTTTTGTATAATATTTGTACCAGTTTTTGGAAACTTAAGTTTCATTTTGTTTTACTTTATTATGCAAGCTTTGAGGCTTTATACTAGCAAGTCTGACACTTATCCAAACCAAACTAGCTGCCTGGAAGGGATGGGTTTCATAAAGGGCATTCACTTTTCTAATGCTCTAAGGTAATGCTTCTTAGCCAATAGATTTTAATATAGGATTTTTTTTGTTGTGTTTTGATGTCTTCAAGGATATTTTAAAAGTTACTGAATTGATAATATTCCCTAAGAGTTCTGTGAGAAGCCCATAGCTTAAAGGTGTTAATTCAGAATGTATGTTTGAAACTTATATTGAAGAACTTAATTTGGTAGCCTGAAGACTACATAAGAGGCAGGGCTCTGACCAATTGGTATGAATGACATTGATGATTAAATTGACATAGAAGGAATTGGTTGATAGTAGATTTTGATTTTTAGCAACAAGAAAGCAATACACTGAAGAATACAATGGAAAGCTTTTAAAAGTGTTAAATTATATTGCAAAAACCAGTTGGGTGCATGAGGAAAGCTTTGTCATCACATTCAAATGGCACTTCAGTAATAATGACAATTATTTTAAAATGGTTCTATGAATTTCTTTAGCATAGGTGATTTTTTTATGTACTTAAACTGGATGCTGTTAAATTGTGTGCAGCCAGTTTTCTCTAATAGAGAACTTAGTTAAAAATGAGGTTATTTCCTATTTTGATTTTAATAAAATTGAAAGATAAACATAAAATTTGCGCATCATACATCTTTTGAAAATACTCGTAACAGTGTAAGAATAGATATGTTGAAACCTTCAGTTATTTCCTTGAGTTGCTTTTGATTGAATTTGTGCAATGACGCTACTCAGTTTTAATTTAAAGAAGAGTCCTCTAAGAGTAAATATTTGCTTCAAGATTGTTAAATGCTATATTTTACTGTCTTAAATAGATAGATTTAAACATTGACAGAAAATTTGTGGTCACTTGCCTATTATGTTCTGGAAGTGTAAAAGACAAAATGTAATTGTATTATTGATTGCTTTTAATGACTTAAATATTACAGTCTGCTGTTAACTTCGTCTACTGATCTAAAACTTTTTTTCTTTTGCATATATTGACAAATCTACCTGGATATAGGGTTGTGGGTAAGAATTTTTTTTTTTAAAGTATCTTAAGTCAAATTTAAACTTCTGATTGGGAAGAATAAAACTTAGTAAATAAACATTTCCTATAAATTTTTTCCCCATTAAGTGTGGTTGAATTCAAAGATGAAGAATTTGTAAAGAAAGCACTAGAAACTATGAACAAATATGATCTTAGTGGAAGACCCCTGAATATTAAAGAGGTAAGATTTCTTATATTTGGAATAATTTAAACTTTTGAATGTAAGGACATGTTTTCTTTGATTTTCATCTTTGGGGATGTATTTCTCTGACTACAACTTTTTTTTTAACATAGATGCTTATCAAAGCTTTATATAATTGATCATAGTTTTGCTTGTACATGGTTTCCTATTTGCCTTTAAGCAGTTTTATATATTTGATTTGTTGTAAGTTATTATAAGCAGAGGTACATGATTAAAAAAATTTCAGATATTTGAAGATGGCGAACTTTTAGGTGCTGACTTTATTTGGTGTAGACATTTTCAGTTTTTAGATTGTGTTGCTTAACTTGAGAAATATAATAGATATTCTTGTAGTTGATAATAAAAGTTTGCTTAATAATGCAAATACTTTATGGCTTTGAATAAGATTGATACTCACTTTTAATTAAAATTACCTTGAAAATGTGCCAGATTAAAATTTAAGAAAACTTATGAAGCAGTTAGTGAAATTTGTAATTGGAACTTGGAAACCCCTAAAGTGGAGGTATTCCCTTTGTATGGAACTGTAGCAGTATAAATCCGTTGAAAAAAGAATGATCAGAAGATAGATAAAAAACTATTTATACTTTGACCTTGGTAATGATTAGCTTGAACAGAAGTCATTCTCATGTCTTCCTTTAGTTCATATTGTTACTCTTATCTGAATAGTTGGATCACAGACCAGTTATGTATATATTTTTGCTAAAGTCTGTATTACAAATGATTGAGATTGTATGTTAGGACCCCGATGAGTCTCCACCAGCAAGGTTGCAAGTCAGTGGTAGTAGAGCATTACTGTGGGTCACAGTTTAATTTGGTATAGTAATGATTTGAGTCCCACCTCTATCACTTTCTAACTCTGTGACTAGGCATGTTACTTATTCTCTAAACCTCAGTAATTATAATAGTACTAATGATAGGATTCACCTGATAGGGTTTTTATGAGGATTAAATGAGATAACATGGTAAAGAATTCAGGCTCTGGTATCAGATAATCTGTGACTCAGGGCAAATTACTTACCTTTAATTACTTAACAAATTGCCTAACTCTGATTACTCTCTATTTCTTTGTTTCCTTATCACTGAAATGGGAATAATATTAGAAGCTATCTGATAGTTTTTTTTTTTTTTAAAGATTTTATTTATTTATTTGACAGAGAGAGACACAGCGAGAGAGGGAACACAAGAAGGGGGAGTGGGAGAGGGAGAAGCAGGCTCCCCGCAGAGCAGGGAGCCCGATGTGGGACTCGATCCCAGGACCCTGGGATCATGACCTGAGCTGAAGGCAGTCGCTTAACCAACTGAGCCACCCATGCGCCCGAAGCTATCTGATAGTTTTATAAGGACTCAGAGAGTTAATATATATAAAGCATTTGATAAATGTTAGCTACTATGATTGTGATGTTATTACATAAAGTACTTAGCACAGTGCTCAAAATATTAAATAACTACACAATAAATGTTAGCTGTAATAATAATTGATTGTTGTTATTCCTGTCCAAGGTGGGAATGTTACTGGTTGTTGGTGTCTTGATCCTGAGTATGAGGTGATAATAGTTTAAAATTAAAGGCCATGCCACCAACAAATACAAGTATCCCAAATCCCTTTATTGGAGTCAGCTTCTGAATTCCTCTAATTCTGTTTGAGTCTGGGGGTTCTTTCATTCTTTATTTTTCTTTTTTAATATTTTGACGGGGAAGTGGAGAATTAGTAGAGAAAGTTTAGACTGTTGTAGTCTATGCCAGCCATTTATGTGGTGGTTTTTATGCTAAAGGTCAAGCCCATGTTGTTTGTTATTTTAAGTTTTAGCACATCATAGATCCTCAGTAATATTTCAGAGACCCTAATATAGAGTTATGTGATCCAAATTGATGTAGGATACTTCCATTTTAAACTTTTTTTAAGAGAGAAAAATAACCGAGTTTGGCTTAGCTAAATGAAGAGGTATTCTTTATTCAGTTAGCTTTTTTGGATTAATATCATAAAGGTCCCTTTTCTGGGAATATCTAATTTACAGAGATGTGGCTGAGCTCAGGGCTAAAACTACTAGTGAGAAAATACTAAGGAAAATATATTTCCAGTATTCCTTACCAGATATTAGAATTGTATTTTTTCATTATATTAAATGGGGGTTAGTAGCAGTTAAAAGCTTATAGGCCCTCTAATAGCAATAGCTGGTAGTGACTGGCAGGTTGTCATCCAAGGGGAAAAGAGGAATAAAAATCATGTTATATAGTGGTTAATTTGTTTTAGATAAATTGTATTTTATATGTTTTATGTATTTTATATGTGTATGTATATATTTTTGTGTGTACACATATTTATATATATGTGAAATATAAAGAGAGAAATATAAGAATATGCTTTATTAATGTTAAGATGTTAAGGACAATCAGCCTATCTTAATAGTTTATGAAGCACCTCTCCTATCCCTCCTCCTCTCCCCATAGGTAACCACTGTCTTAAATTTTGCATTTGTACAAGTTTTTGAAGCTTTAGTTAGACCTGAAGCATTTATTATTTATTAACTTAAAAATTTTATAGCATTTTTGAAAACATGTATTTCTTTACTTCTGTATTTCTTTTTATTTTTTCATGGTGAGGAAATACTTTGGAAGCTGGTATACCTTTATTCTTGCATTTACTTTTTCACCTTCTATCTTCCCAGCCTTCCTAGAGAATTTCTTAAGGTTATCCAACTTTCTTTTTATTAGTATCCCTAGACTGAGACCAGCAGAGCAGCGTTGATGGTTACATTTATCATTTTCATTTGGTATTGCAGATGATAGTCTATCAATGTGTTTATGTGTTTTTTTTGTTTGTTTTTTGCATTCCACCTAGTGAGATGAGTGAGAAGTATGTTCAAATTCGCTTTTTTAGTTTTGTTTAAAGGTAGAATATTTCTGTTATAAAGTTAATGAACTTAATGAAAAGCGATGTTTATTATTCTTCACTTGGACACTTAGCCTTTCTTTATCATTCCCCCACCTCTTCGTCTTTGGTAATAATCAATTGTCAGATCATAGTCATTGTTGAGGAAGGAAAAAGGTTGGAAAGTGGGTAATTATATTTTGTTTAGGAATGAAATTTACACATTATAAAAGTTCCCCTTTACCCCAATATTCCTGGGTTTTATAACAGTCTGTTCCACTGTTGCAAAGCTTTGAATTAGTCTGATTTGGCATTGCCTTGGGCATCCAGTGGTGAGAATTCACCATTACTGCATTTCAGAAAGAAAAGAGTCAACAGTAAGTATTTTGTTCCTCTTGAATTATGTATATTTATGTGTTGTGTCATATATTTGTACACTAGTATGAGGGCAAAATTAAACTAATTTCAAGTTCTTAAGTGACTTTAGTGATTGGAAAGAGGTATTTAATTGACACCCCTGGAGACTGAAATCTTTTGTCTGTCCACAGGTTTTTATGGGACTGAATTCCCTGGATAAGAAAAAAAGCTCACTCTTCAAGAGAGCCAATAATTTGAGCCAGTTGGGATAGCTACTGTAGAATTTGAAGTTGTTATTTTAATGATGCAGATTTATTGATGTGTCTAGTGGTATTTAACATTCAATGTGTGTTATAGGATCCTGATGGAGAAAATGCTCGTAGGGCATTGCAACGAACAGGAGGATCATTTCCAGGAGGACATGTACCCGATATGGGATCGGGGTTGATGAATTTACCACCTTCCATTCTCAATAATCCAAACATTCCTCCTGAGGTTATCAGTAATTTGCAGGCTGGTAGACTTGGTTCCACAATTTTTGTTGCTAATGTAAGTTTAAGCTTTAGTTTAAATTTTGTCATTCAGTATTTAATTCTAATCATAAGATTATTAAATTAGATGAATGGGTTGTAGGTTTATAGAACATTTTGCTTATTTTTAACTAAAGTAAGTGGAACAGTAATTATTGTAAACTCGAACCCAGTTTAAATCTATATATGTAAGATTAGGGTGTAAATATGAGTAGGATTCTTTAAAAGAGAACTGTGGAATTTATAAATACCTAAGCAGTTCTTGAAAATATTTACTTGCATTATATGTGATTTTTGTTCATATTGGGAAATGGATTTCTTTCTTTAGCTTTGTTATTTGATATTTGTGAATGTGCACGTTGTAGTTGGTTTGCCATTTGTTCAAAGCTTTTGAAAGTCAGTGATACCAACAATACTTTCCAAAATCTGAATTTCTCTCAGTAAAAATAGATGTGCAAGTTTCAAATGTATAAAACAGGATTGGGCAGTTGAGAGACTATTTTGGGAATTTAAAAAAAATTCAGGAGAAGGAACAATGTAGATGTAGCTTAATTGATTTTAAATAACTGAAGATGTTTTTACTTGAATATTCTTGATGTACTGTCTAACAAGAAGTATACTTCTTTATAGTTTTGACAGTTTAGAAAAGATTTGTTTGTATTATTTATAAATGGAAAGAAGGGTTTATTAGGTATGTAACTTTATATAATTTTATGTTAAGCTTGACTTCAAAGTTGGTTGGAAGAAGCTAAAGGAGGTGTTCAGCATAGCTGGAACTGTAAAGCGGGCAGATATTAAAGAAGACAAAGATGGCAAGAGCAGAGGAATGGGCACAGTCACTTTTGAACAAGCAATTGAAGCAGTTCAAGCAATTTGTATCCTGATTTACACTTTAGCATTATTTAATAAGGTTGAAGAAGCTTGATACCATTTTGTGGGGGTCATGGAATTTAAGGTTGCCTGGCTTAGAAATGTGTATTAGACTTTAGTCTCCAGCACATAAAACCTTTACTATGTCCAAGTACTAAAGTCACTCTTGAAACTTGAATTAGCTATGCATAAGCCTGGTATGAACTTCTTTCTACTTTCTCTTCCTGCCACAACTAATTGTATGTATATCTGCTGTTGACAGTTAATGTAATCCATTGTACATTAATGCAGTTGCTTTAAATGAAGCCTTGTTAATTTTCTTTTTTCAGTGGTTGAATTAGATTATATTTTATTTATAAAGTAAAACTGTAAAGCAAAGAATTCAAGATTTTTCTTTGAGTATATGGAAGAGACTAATACAAATAAGTACAGTAGTAAGATGTTAAAATTATAGAGGTAGTCTGACTCTAAGATTATTCAAAATGTGTGTTCAAGTATAATTTTATAGTCTTAACTGAGTTTCCTTGACTGAACCAACAGCTATGTTCAATGGGCAGTTTTTGTTTGATAGACCTATGCATGTGAAAATGGTGAGTTCCTATATATCACTTCAACCCTTCAACCTCTTCAAATCTTTTATCTGCTCTCCTCTGCATTACAGATCCTTTCAGTTATGAATTAACCATATAATAAACTTTTTTTGCAATTAGGATGACAAGTCTGTCCCTCATGAAGACTACCGTTCACATGATAGTAAAACACCACAGTTACCACGTAAGTAAAAGTTATTATTAGAAACAGTGCAGACTATTTGTTTTTCAATTTTATTATATGCTAAGCAAAACTCTTTTATTTTTGTGCCTATATCGCACATTGCCCTCAGTTTAGGGTTAGTTTTAGGAGTTATGGAGATAGGTTGTCATGTTGATGAAGAAGAGTGAAAAGATAAGTATGTACCATTTTTTTTGGTGTTTTTCCTGGTTATACTAGCCATACATACTAAAAAAAAATTGGTAAGTTCATATACATGAAGGGAAGAGGAGTCCTTTTAATTTTACCACAAGTAGACTCCATTATAACATTTTTGTGTATCTTTCCTAGCCTTTCTTTATATGTATATTTTTTTACATAGTTGAGTACTACCATATAAATAATTTTGTATTTTTTGGTGTGTGTTTAACATTAATAAGCAGTATTCCATGTTGAAAATTCTTTCCAAGTATTTTTATTAGGTGTATAATAGTCTATCATATAGATGCTCCATAATTATTTCGGTGTATAATAGTCTACGTATAGATGCTCCATAATTATTTTGCAGTTATGTTTGGTATATTTGTTTTAACTTTTTCTCTTTAATTATCAACAGAGTAATTCATGTCTTTGTATACAAATATTTGGTATGTTTTTTATTTCCTTCAAGTAGATATACAGGTTCTCAGGTATGCTCATTGATCAGTATTATCATATTGTTTTCCAAATGATTATAACGCAGTGTAATGTACTTAACATCTTTGTCTCAATGCTCCATCTGCAAAATGAGGATGCTAATAGCGCTTTTATCATGGGTCTGGCATGAGTGTTGCATGAGTTAATATATGTAAAGCACTTAGAACAGTTCTGGTATAATGTACATACTCAAAAATACTAGCTCTTGTTCTTACTATTTTACTATACCGTCTCTGGTTTTTATTAAAGTTTTTTAATCATAGAATATTTTAAATATACAGACAAAAATAAAATACTTTTGTAGTTATCACAGGCCATATTTGTTTTAGATGAGTTTTCTTTAAGTAAAATTTTACAGATAAAGTTGAGACTCCCCCTCTCTCCTGACCACCAGATATACCATACCAAGAGGAAACAACTTAAGGAATATAGTGTTTATCACTTAGGCTTTAGTCATTTGGCTACGCATTTATACATCCATAAACACTACATGAAATTGTTTTGCTGGATATAAAATTTGGGGTGAGTGACATCATATTGTATATATTATTCTGCAGCTTGCTGTTTTTGGTTTAATATCGTTTTTGAGATGCATTCATATTGATAGTTGTAGCTCTAGTTCCTTCATTTTAACTTGCTAATACCACATTATATATATTTTTGTTTTTCAGGTTATTCTAGTTTTTGGCCATTAGAAACAGTACTAAGTAGGGGAGTATTTATTCTTTTTCTGTTAGAATAATCTGTTCTCTCAGTGTTCATGAGAAATTACTTGTAATACTGTCTGGCCTTCCTGTATTATTTGGGGGAAGACTTGAACTAATGATTGTTCATATTTCCTATTGCTTCTTGAGTCAGTATTGGTTATTTCTGTTTTTCTAAGATTTTTACCATTTTTGTTCATTTTCAAATTTATTGGCATAAAATAGTCTCTTAAATTTCTGCTACATCTATAGTTCTTCCCTCTGATACATTCCAAAGGTTTGCAATTTCTCTTTTTTCTTGATCAGTTTTGCTTAGATTTTTCAGTTTAATTAGTGCTTTCAAAGAAGTGAATTTCATTTTTGTATCTTAATTTCTGCTCTTTGCTTTAATACTTTCTTCTATTTCTTTGGGTTTAGTTTCTTATTTTTGTCCAAATTCCTTAAGCTGAATGTTTACTTCACTAATTTTGCAGCCTCTCTTTTCTAGTAAAAGTAGTTATAACTATTAAATGTAGCTGTTGTACACAGGTTTTGGTATGGAGTATTTTTATTGTGATTTAGTTTTTATTAAATTACTATTATGATTTCTTCTTAAGCCATACATTTTTGAGTTTCTAACTGTATGGGGCTTTTTCTTACTAATTTTTAACTAAACAGTGTGGCCAGAGAAGATATGATTGTGATTCTTGGAATTAATTTGGACTTTGCATTATGGCCTACTATATGGCACTATTTTAATATATATTCCAGGTGTGCTTGGTGAGTGCAGTGTTCTATATATGTCCATTAAATCAAGTTTGTTAATCATTTACATTTTCTTATGTCTCTATTAATAATCATGTCTGCTTGTGCTGTCAATTACTGAGAGTTGTATATGGTAAAATTTCCCACTAGAATGTTGGATTTGTCTTATTTTTTCTTGTTTTTACTTTAAGTATTTTGAAACTAACTTAGTAGGTACATCCAAGTTCAGAACTGATATGTTTTCCTAATGAATCAAAATTTTATCTTTTAAAATGATTTTATCTTTAGTAACTAAGTCTTTTGTCTAATATTAATATAGATACAACAGCTTTGTTTTGTTTATTCACATTTATTGATTTATTTGGATTTTTGCCCATTATCTTATTTTGTATTATATTTTTCTGTTTTTTTTACAAATATTTTTCTCCTATCTTGCTTTCTCATTTAGTGGTTATCCTGGATTTTTAATATAGTGATATGAAGTCTGGAGTTAATGTAATTCTTTTATTCAATAATAGAATGACCTTTGAATGTTTTAGTTCTGATCACTTTTCTACTGATTAGGTGCTATTATTGCTCATTGTCTTAGTTCTGTATTACTTTTTTTAGTCCCCCAAATTAGGCATTACTATTATTTACTATTTTTTTTATCTTGCCTTTCTCTGCTTTCACAGACCCTGGCACTAATTTTGTTTTCCCTGAAGGATATATTTTAAAAGCTCTTCCAATGAGGATCTGTTGTTAGTAAATTTTCTCAATTTTGGATAGTCTGTATAAATATCTTCAAAGATAGTTTTGCTGGTTTGCAGTTTAAGATTGGTAGTTATTTTGTCTCAGCACTTTGAAAATATCCCAGTCTTCTGGCTTCCATTGTTGCTATATTAAGTCAACTATCAGTTGAAATGTCCTTTCTTTATAGGTAATCTTTGTTCTTCATGTAGCTGATTTTAAGATACTTGTCTTTGGTATGCAGTTTTCTACAATGTGGGTATGAATTACTTTTTATTGAGCTTTCACAATATGAGGATTCAGTTTTTTTAAAGTAAATTCTGGAAAATTCTCAGCTCATGTGTCTTTGAATATTGCCTTTTCTTTCTTTACAGGGCAGTCTTTTTCTCCCTCAACCAAATTTACCTTATCACTTATTATTTATCATCTTTCAAGATCCTGCCTGGCTTTCTGCAGGGCTTCTGGTTTATTTTTGCCCTATTAGTACTCTTCTATTTATTTAGATAAAAAAATATCCTCTGTTGTATTCAGACTTCTTCTGTATCTGTTCTTTTGAGATTCATGTTTTTATATATTCTTCTCCATTGAGATATAATATGAATTCATAGACTTTGACAGAATCAGTTTGTTGTTCTAATCATTATTAATGTCCTCATTTTTCCCTTCTCTTATTTTGCTCAAATTATTGTAACTTGTTAAGTGGGAGCCTTCTCATTTCCTATGCTGCTGATACTCTTACTTTTGGTAAAACTTGATTTCCCAGATTTGGGAAGTTTTTTTTTTTTTTTTTTTTTAGTCCCAGAGACATGGGATTGGCCTAATTTCAAGGAGTCCTGGTTCTTTTTAATGACGAATGATATCAGAGATAAAAATAGGAGTTTTAGGTATAGACATGAGATTGCTGTTAGTCAAATGTGCTATTGCTTTCAGTTAGACCATTTTTAGGAACTGAGCTGAAAAAAGGTATTTCATTTACCAGATCACATTAATCTTTCCAACTTAACACAACATGCTTCTGTACTTTATCTTTTAAAAAATATATATGGTATATCGTTTTCTCAGCCCCTGCCACTTAATTGCTACATTGATTAGCAAGAACTTTAAAGCCATACTCAGATTTAGTAGAATAAAATAGTTCCCACTCAAATGTTAAGTCTTTAAGGTCGTGAAATCAACTTAAAGTCTGTTTTCAACAAATTTAATTAGTTTATTTTAAGAGAGAGTAAAAAGAATACTAGATTTAGAGAAGAAAACTTAAATTCTAGTCCTAGCTTAATCTCATAGCTAAATGGCATTATACAAGTAACTTAAAGTCTCAAAAATTTCCTCCTCTATGGAAAATAGATGTGAAAACACTTAGGGTGCCATATAAATGTCAATAAATATGTCATGGACAAAACCAGATAATGTAACGTTTGTTTTATTCAATATTATGTTGTCATTGTTGTTGACTTTTTAGTTTGATTTAAAGCATCTTAAAAGTAATTCTTCTTAAGTGGTTCTACAAATTTGAGCAAGGTTCTCATTTTCAGATATGTATATCATTTATAAGGTGTATAATATTATTCAAAATCCTCTTGGTATTTCATTAATCCTTTTCAGTATGCCTTGAACCCAGGATATAAGATGGGCCGGCTTCATAAAACACTTCTCATTAATAAATGGTATTATAGTGAGGCTTCAGTGGGCTGCATTCTGATGAAAGCAAGAACCAGTGCTCTTATTGGCAAATTTGCAAAATTTTGGAAATTTTACTACAGGCATCTAGCTTTAAAAAATTTATTTAGTGCCAGTTAGTTAATTATATATGGATTAGTAATATTCTTATTTATGCTTTAGGCGGTCTTGGAGGCATTGGAATGGGACTTGGTCCAGGCGGACAGCCTATTAGTGCCAGCCAGTTGAACATAGGTGGTGTAATGGGAAATTTAGGTCCAAGTGGTGAGTATTCTCACATTCTTATTTCTTTTTAAATGGTACATTTGCTAGATTACAAAGCTTACATTTACTAGTTTGTAATAATGTTCAAAGGACTCTGTTTATAGTTGAGCATTTAGGATGTCATTCAGCCTGAAAAAAGAATGAAACCTCAAGAGCAGAGAACATGAAAGAGGGTGAGCCAAGGTCAGTCAGGTTCCTCGGAGGCCATTTGTGTTGTAGCTAGTCTTTTAGCACTTTGGATTTTAAAATGTCTGTAAGGCAGAAGGCAAATGTTTAAATGTAGTGCCTTGTGTGTTGTGGATATACAGTATTTGTATTGACTGAAATGCTACCCTATCATAAGCAGGTGAAATTTATATGTATAGCTGGGAAGGTAGCTTTCCAGAGAGCTGTTTGGCTCTTTACCTGGACTAATTTACAGTTTGTCTTTGAAGATTAGTTTTTTAAACTTTGTGGTTTCAGAACCCTTTTAGTCTCTCAAATTTCTTTGAGGATCCCAAAGTGCTTTCATTTATGTAGTTATGTTTGTCAATATTTACTGTATTAGAAATTAAAACTTAGAAATTTAAAACTACTTACGTATTTAAGATAACAGTAATCTCGTGTTAATATAAATATAATTTTTAAGAAACTAAGTTGTATTTTCCAATACAAAAAAATTAGTGAGAAGAGTGGCATTGTTTTACCTTTTTTGTACATCTCTTTAATGTTTGGTTTAATGCAAGACATCCCATGCTCTTGTATCTGCTTCTGCATTTAGTTTGTTAGAGTATCATACAACATGTAGTTTCTGGAAAATTACACCTTATATTCATGAGAGAATGAGAGTAAAACAGTCAAATATCTTAATATTATGTGATGAATGAAATAGTTTTGACTTATTGGACCCCAGACCATACTTCAAGAACTGTGTCTTAATTGATGGACTAATAAATGCTATCAGATTCCTGTTTTTGCTGAGATGCTATAGCTAAACCTGTAAATTATGAGGGTAGCTATACCGTAATCATTCTGACCCAAACAGATAGAAACTTTGTCCTTTACTCTTAGGCCCTCCACCCTCCTAAACACGCATGCTTTTTTATTTTTAGTTTTTTACTGCTCCCTTAGCTGCCATGTAAGGAGTCCTTACTTTCTGACTTGATCTCTCAATCTGCTGTGGTGATATTTGTGTTTGTGTGGTGTGTTGAAAAAAAAAAAAAAAGAGGGAACGGTTACCTAGTCCTAGATATTCTCTGCTTGAATGTGAGTGTGACCAGTGACTTTTGTTTTCTCATTCAATAAATATTCATAGAAGCCTCTTTGAAGACTCATGCTTAGACAGCTGATGTGGCATAACACACAAGCCACCTGTGCCCTGCTGCTTCTCTAGCGTTCCATCATGACTAGGCCAGTGGTTATCTTTTGCTGTATTGCGCTATGTCATTCTTTAGTCATAAAAATAAGATTGACTGAACGTACATACTGTGTATTTTATTTGAGGTATGGGAATGGATGGTCCAGGTTTTGGAGGAATGAATAGAATTGGAGGAGGTATGTATAAGCATTTGTTTTTTGTATGTACCCATCACCATTTTTAGTAAATTAGAAGCTGTGTTGAGAATTCCAAGGAAAAAAACATCATGGTTTATTGTTGGCTCACACCTAAAGGCTGCTAGCAGAAATTGAGCCTGGTACATACTTAAGGGATATGGAAATTGATGTGTTAAGAAGCCCCTGGACAAGGTAGGGTGGATGAAGAGCTTACTGATGAGACTTAACATTTACAAAATGTACCTTTCGGCTATATAACTGACAGTCAAATCTCAGAATTAATCTTTATTCCATAGGAATTGGGTTTGGTGGTCTGGAAGCAATGAATAGCATGGGAGGATTTGGAGGAGTTGGCCGAATGGGAGGTAGGTAAATGTAGGAATGGGTACTGTAGATGTCTTCGGAGGGCATATGGGCATAGGGAATAGGGACAGGCATGATGGGACTGGGGATATTATATGGCATGTGAGGTAAGTTGGTAAATCACGGACCTTTTTGTATTTGTGACTTTTGCTGTCTTTTCAGTTTAGTTTCAGAATTTTCCTAAATGGATTACCATGTACTCTGATGCACTTGAAAAAGGGTTAATTTGTTGCATAATCTTTTCAGAGCTGTACCGTGGTGCGATGACTAGTAGCATGGAGAGAGATTTTGGACGTGGTGATATTGGAATAAATCGAGGCTTTGGAGATTCCTTTGGTAGACTTGGTAGGGCTGGCTGCATATTTCTCCTTTTCTTTTTGCAGGTCATATTTTTCAGAATCTGTTTCCTTTTTTTTGTGAACAATTGGAAGTTAATAATGTTTCACATAATTTATTACTTGATGAAAAATACTTTAGGAATTTTAATGTACTTGCTCGCTTTTTCAGTATATTATATATTTGAACCCTATTTCTAGAAGACATATTTATTGGTTACTGTACATCTGAGAGCATAGTACCTTGGGGATTTTAAAATACGATTATTCAAATTAATTAGTATATTATCTTTCCATCCTTGTTTAGGCAGTGCAATGATTGCAGGAAGAATAGGAGCTTCTAACATGGGTCCAGTAGGATCTGGAATAAGTAGGTTTAAATTTTACTAGAATTTATTCAGTAATATTTGAGTGCTTGCAAAAGAGTTTGCAAGAGTAGTTATTGTAGTATAGTAATACTTTGTTCTTATGTGTTAATATGTCTTGTCATAATTTAGAGAAATTTTGATACTTATTGAGGTTTTCTGTTTGATCACTGTTTGAAATTTCTAAACTAACTTTGAATTTTACTTCTTTGACATTTCTAAACTAACACCAGAGTATGTGTTAACTGTCAGCTAATCCAAGAAGCTCCATTCCAACTAAGGAATCGGGGGATTTCTGTGATCACATGTCAGGAGCAACTTTTGCCTTAGCACCAGCTTTGTTCCCTTGCCTGTTGTCTACAGCTGCTCTTGGTGACTAGCTTATTTCATCTGTGAACATCTTGTGTCTTTGGGTAGATGCAGGTGAATCGACCCAGTTGTAATACCTCTAGAGACCCCTGAGGTTGAGGGCTAAGATTGAAAGAGATGTTTATTTCCTCTCCTCTTAAACTTTTCCTGTGACAGAATCAAGAGTAGTTGCCCCGTGTCTTCCATCTGTTGCCACTACCACATTTGAAGCCTTATATTAAGTCTTAAGACATGGCTCAGTTTTTGATCTCTGTTGCTTACTGAGCCATGTCTCTATGAGCTCTCCATACTTTACTGACTTCTTTTAATTGAAATCTCACAAATAGGAAATACAGCCTACTTGAACTTTTCTAAAATCCTATCAGCTAAAGATATTTACTTCCATTGTACCTTGCTTCTCGTTCCCTTTCATCATTTTTTTAGCCTTGGTCATTTTTCCATTAATCATAACTTCCCTACTTTCCTTTTTCACCTCAGTGTTTATACTTCTGTTTTCCTACCTTTGTATTTGTTATTCATAGAAAGTCAATTTGAAGGTAATGTTAATTTTTAGAATTTCTATATATGGGGATATTAAGTACAAGAAAAAAGGATGTTTTGAGAATGAATAGGATTGGAATTAATTAAAGGGGACTCAGTGCATAAGCATGAATTGGGTATGAGCTATGAGTTAAATTCTCAGGCTCTGGCCAACGGTGCATGATTCCATTTTTTGTTATCTCCTTAAGTTCTATATAATATTGAGATTAAAAGTTAGGTTTTTCTGTTGTTATTGAAAATTGAATTGATATGAAAGAGAAATTGCATGAAAAACAGAAGATACTGAGGTGAAAGAATATTAATGTGGGAGAGTATGATGAGATCAATAGTTAACGTGTTGGAATTGTAATAATTTGAATTCACTTCATATATCTTTGTTCTAGCATTTATTAAACATGGTATTATTAAAGAAAAATGATAAAAGCTACCATAACACTAATGGATCAAATAACTGGTAGAGAATTTATATAACTTATATGATGTGTTTTATGATCAGAATATAATTTTATAGAAGTATGTATGTATGATGTATTTATGTAGTGGCTAGAATGAGCAGATTCAGTTAGCCATTAACATTCAGCTAACTGAATGTATACAGATTAAATTCTGTTTCTTAGAAGATTGTTCTATTGTGTATGTGAAAATGCTTTTATGTTTATATATGATCCAGTTATATAAATGAATTAATTTTTCTCTCCCTTTCTTTCTCAAAAATGATTTTCTCCCTCCTCTTTTTCCTCTTCTTTCTCCTTTTTCTTCCATTTTTAAAACAAAAACACCCAAATTCCCAAAACCCCCCTTCCCTTCTTGAAATCCAGGTGGTGGCATGGGTGGCATGAACAATGTGACTGGAGGAATGGGGATGGGATTGGACCGGATGAGCTCCAGCTTTGATAGAATGGGACCAGGTATAGGAGCTATACTGGAAAGGAGCATCGATATGGATCGAGGATTTCTATCTGGGCCAATGGGAAGCGGAATAAGAGACAGAATAGGCTCCAAAGGCAACCAGATATTTGTCAGAAATGTAAGCAACTAAATGTAAAGGATACTTAAATTTTTTTTTTCTTTGTATATCTGTTACTAATACCTTTTTTCATTCTAGCTGCCTTTTGACTTGACTTGGCAGAAACTAAAAGAGAAATTCAGTCAGTGTGGTAAGTATGCTAATGACTGCAGACATGTTAATATTGATTATGGAGGAACAAATGATTTTAAGCTTTTAAGCACTGTGTTTAGACCTTACCTGTCCAGATGTTTGTTCCTGGATAGTACAACAGGTCTAATTCCACTTCAAGTAAATTACTCTGTTGTCTTCTGACATAGAGCAGTGCAAATTACTACTAAATAACCAGATTCAGAGTAGAGCCTATCATTGCCTTCTGTGGATAAAGAAAGGGCTTGTTTTATTACCTGATTTTTGAAAGGTTAATATATCATCATTGCTTGCATTTAAAAAGACTTTTTCTTCTGTGGGAAATATTAATGAAGGGTATATTTATTTCCTTGCTTGTAGTGTACTGCAGTGCATTGTCAACATGACCCCAAAGTGCTGACATCCAAATGATGTGGAGTTAATAGATGAGACTCATTCTGCACTCTGTTGCCTACACGACACAGGAAACTTAGCTGATAGCATAGAGTCCACTGCCTGGAATTCCTTAGATACATTCTGGTGGCCCTTCTAGCCCTTTTATAAACTATTCTTGGCTGTGATGATGCTGTCTATACAACCTTACTGTGTTCATTAAGTCTGTAGAAGATGAGATGGTTTTATTACTTTAAAAGAGAGCCTTTTTCTTAATGAGAGAATTAGTGTGAGTGGAACAACATAACAGATTTCCTGCCAGTACTTTTCTGCTATTGCATGGTATCCCAGAAACTATAATCACAATGGTAAGCTATAGAGGTGGCATATAGTGATGGAACATTCAGTTTCTGAAAGTTGATGGAAACTTAGGAGTATTTAGAATATATCTTCTAATTTTTTGAGATCATTAGGTGAATAACTTCAGTATTCTCCCACAAAAGTAGCCTTTGGCTACTATCATAAAGTGGTAGTGATTACCTGTGATCAAAGTGATCACGTGGCTGTCATCTGCTGTGTTCTCAGAGTACTTTATACTCGACTCTGTGGTAATAATCTGCTCACATGTTTTCTTCCCTCCTAGATGGAGGCTCTTGATGCAAGAGCTGTCATCTTTATTCTAACATTTTTCATTGCCTTGGTACATATAGTAAGAGTTTGTTAAGTGTTTATGAGTGAGTTAAGCACTCTGAGCAGAACTTACTCATTTATTCACTTATTTACTCATTGAATAAATCTACAAATAGTGTTATTTTTGATGGTCCGATTAGAAATGTGAACAGAATTAGAAATATGAACAAAGAAAGGTATTATCCCTCTTGCCCTCAAAGAACATACAGTGTGAATCTGTCTAGGATGTTCTTTTGACTCTTTTTGTTGATCCTTTTTTTTTTTTTGTATTTCATTTATATTTTATTCAAAGAAGAGAAACTTAATATTTTTTTATTGTAAAAAAGTTGTTGAAAATGATTTAACTCCCAAACAGGTACCACTAAGAGAAAGCAGAATTGTAACAGTTTTGCAGTGTTGGTAATATTTGTAGGAGTAAGAACATCTACCAGAATGAGTAAGCAGCATTTGGCCATGAATCACATAGACTGCAGAGGAATGAATATACTAGGGAGGGCCTTAGTGAAATATGTCAAATGAGGAGCAGTGACAGCAGGTATAGATGATCTCTGTTATAGTTTCAATAGAAAAAAAATCTCCAAATGAGATATATGACATTATTTTTAACAGTAGAACTGAGACAAATATAGAACAAAGTGGGGCAAACAAATGACATTAATGAAAATGTGACCAATATTGAGTTGACTTTTCTTTATCATATGTAGGCATATTTCTTTCTGAGGTGAGACATGAGCAAGGCTTGCAGCAAACTTGAGGTCTTTTGGTGGGCTTATTGATGGAGTGGCATTGTTTTGATAGAAGGACATCAGCAATTCAAAAATATTTTCTGAAAGGAAAAAAATAGTATCCAAATCTATACTTAAAAAAATGTGTGCAGCATTTTAGCTGATAAAATGGTTATTATTCTTTACTTTGTTATTTTAGCTCTCTTCTTATGTCCTTTTTTTGATCAGTCTATAATATGAGAGTAATGATTTTTGTTTTTCTCAATTCTATTGTAAAAGCTTCTGACTTTCATATTTATATTAAAGCAATACTATGTTTAAATAATTCCCTACCATCTTCCTGTTTTTAAACTTGAACTGCATTGTGATGGGAAAGAAAATAAGTTATGGTAATATAGAATTAAGTGTTCAGCTATTGACAGCTATGGAAATTATCTGGCTTGTATGAACTGAACCATCCATTTTTCTGCCACGTCCCTTATTTATTTATTTTCAAATCTTAGAAAGTTTTTTCTTTGTTAGTATGGGAAGTTTCTTTTTAACCTGCTGCAAGTCAGTAATCACCTCTTTCACAGTAAAAGGCAGATTTTTGTTGTTTTTTTTTTCCCCTTGAGCCCAAAGTGAGTAAGTATATACGTTTGGTTCCTTCTTAGTAAGAGACTAGTGGTACTCCAGGCATCTTCCCTGGACAATATCTGCCTGTAAGTGGCTCACCAGCAAGCCGTCTGCTTATTAAATGTCTATACAGATCTTCTCAACTTACGATGGGGCTGTGCTTAACCTACTGAGCATCATAGCCTTGCCCAGCCTACCTTAAACATGCGCAGAACACTTAGCATTAGGCTACAGTTGGGCAAAATCCTCTAACACGAAGCTTATTTTATAATAAGGTATTGAGTATCTCACCTAATTGATTAAATACCATACTGAAAGTGAAAGAGGGGTTATGTGGGTACAGAATGGTTATAAATGTATGGATTGTTTATCCCTGTGATTGCCTGGCTTACTGGGAGCTGCTGTTCAGTGTCTTCTGCCCAGTGTCGTGAGTATCATATCACAGATCACTAGCTTGGGGGAAGGTCAAAATTCAAAGTACAGTTTCTGCTGTGTATCACTTTCGCACCATCATGATGTCAAAAAAATCGTAAGTCGAACCATTATGAGTTGGGACCGTCTGTAGTGGCTAACTGTCCTTGATAGGGCAAGTACAGAGGCCCTAGAAAATGTACTTTAGGTTATACTACATGCAGTATAGTTCCTCAGCCTTCGTAATTTAGGGGAAAATGTGTTCAGATATCCCCAAATATGTAACAGGATGAGAAATAAGTGACTGTAGTAAAAATAGATCTCTTTTTATCCCACCCTATGTAATTCCTCAGTGACATGCATTTTTAAGAAAGCGGAGTATAAATAAATTAACTGACTCATTCAGAATTGGACCCTACATTAGTTTAAGTTGTGCTAATGGGGTCAAATAGACATAGTCTTTCAAACTTGCTCCCATATTTACTGTCCAGTTTAGCTGTATTTTGACCTTCTGGCTCAGTATGATGCAGGACCATAACATTTTAGAACTGCAGTGCAAGGAAAGCCCGTTTAATTATTCTTCTATAAGCCATGTAAACAAATACAACTTTGTTTCACACATTTCCATTATGGAGTTTTTCTAGATCAGTATGCTTGTTAACCAGATAGAAAGTAGAGACTTGTGGTAGATTTTCTTTACTAAAGCACATGCTGCTTCAAGCATGACTAGTAGACTTTAACTCTGGAATAATTTAATAGTAAAAATACTGCAGTAACAGTAAAAATAATATACAAAGAGCATTCATTGATAGAGTCACTTTCTTTTGTTTGTAAAGAAACACTAAAGCTTTGTTTTTTGTCCCTTGTATCAAAATTATGGCTTCTTGTAGAATATCTGATTTTGCTTTTTTTTCTCTTGTTTCTGTGTTACAGCTTCACTTTGGTAGTAGATTTATATTGAACCATTTATTTGTGCTTTTAATTTGGTGTATTTTTAGATATGCTTTTATATCAGCATTTCCCAAAGCATACCACAGGATGTTAATAGGCTGGATTAAATAAAGTGAAAAGTTCTCTTTCACTGAAGGATAAGTCATTTTTATAACTAGTATATTGGTAACAGCAATATGTTTGATTATTCTGTGGTACTGATTTCTCATTGCATACTATTTTGTCCTATAACTTGTTAAAATAGCAGTTCTATTTTTGTTTTTCATGGAATCATACAAGATCAGTAGATATTTAAGTCATTTGAGAAAGTCCTCAAGAGCATGTAAAAATAGCTAAGGAGGTCTGATTTTAATTTTTTGAAACTAAATTTTTTTCTCCTCGATTATTTATCTTTAGAAAAGTAAATTATCTCAATTGGTGTTTTTATGGGATTTAGAAGAAACTTAGAAAACATACGACTCTTTCTGGTTCTGTGCCTAGTGGGGATTTTTGGACAGTCTAACCATGAAACACATATAGGCCATTTTCTATAGCCTGAGTGTCCAAACTGTAAGCATGTTGAAGCATCCTGGCTGCGAGACCTTGTCAAATTGAAATGCCGTGAGATCATCGTGAGTCCAGGAATTTGGGGGTCTGAGTGTTGATTCCTAAATTGAGAGATACAATTTAAGAGAAGGAAAAAAGAAAGAAACTTGTCTTGAAAGATTGAGACAGATTTTGCACGAGATAATTACATACTTTCCTTTGAAGTTTTGAAGGTTTCTTGCTTAATGAACCTTAGTATTATTGCTTATAAACCTATGACGGGATGCTTATGTTAAGAAAAGCCCTAAGTTTTTATAAAAGGTAAAAGTAGAATAAGGAAGAACCTCTAACCTTAAAAGCCCTTGAAAATTCTGCATAGTCTCCTTTGGAGTCACTATACAGTGCTGCCATTTACCAAGGTATGCTTCTTTAATTAAACTTCTTTTTTTCAGGTCCCAGCATTCAGGATATTAAGAGGACTCTGGAAATTGCTCTACATCTATCTTTAAAGCTTTTTAAAGTTTCATTTTATGTTGTTTATTAGAAAATGTGATTTGTGTTTTTTGTTTTGTTTTAACCAGTTGTAGGTTATATATTGTTTGGATCTATTTTAATCATGATAATATAATTTTTTCTGGGGATTAGTCTGTTTTATAACTTTTAGAAACAGTTAAAGGCTGCCTAGCCTGGGTTACAGGATCATGGTTTTGGCTCACTATGACATTTATTAACTTGGACCATTTAATTACTATTGAGTGGGTGAGCAGTTGACCAGCAGTTGGTTTAAAAAAATGCAGTAATGGTGGGATGGGAAATGGATGAAAAAACAAAAGTAGAAAAGTGGTCCAGGACTGGGTGATAGACACTGGGGAGGGTATGTGCTCTGGTAAGTGCTGTGAATGGTGCAAGACTGTTGAATCTCAGATCTGTACCTCTGAAACAAATAATGCAATATATGTTAAGAAAAAAAAAAGAAGAAGATAGCAGGAGGGGAAGAATGAAGGGGGGGAAATCGGAGGGGTAGACGAACCATGAGAGACGATGGACTCTGAAAAACAAACTGAGGGTTCTAGAGGGGAGGGGGGTGGGAGGATGGGTTGGCCTGGTGATGGGTATTAAAGAGTGCACTTTCTGCATGGAGCGCTGGGTGTTATACGCAAACAATGAATCCTGGAACACTGCATCAAAAACTAATGATGTAATGTATGGTGATTAACATAACAATAAAAAAGTAAAAAAAAAAAAAAAAGAAAAGTAGTCCAGGATGTTGTAGATAAGAAAGCATTCAGATCAAGATTTAAACAGTAAACAAATTTTTCTAATCATGCATTGAGATTAAAATTGATCCTGTCACCTGGAAAAGGGCTTATGCGATTTTTTGATAAGCCCTTTGCTTTTATTGTCCACCTCTTCCTTTTTAGTCCCTTTATAGAACTGAATATGTTTGGCTTTCTTAGTTGGCTGCCAGGCTAAAATTAGCCTATGGTGATTTGGCAACTAGATAATTTTCAAGGAAAGGAAATATTATGGTAAGTAGGCACACAACTCACCTGTTGTGGATCAGGTGATAATACATCCCAGTTTGCCTGGGGATAGTATCCCTTTGCATCTGTTATTTGTGTATAATTACTAATAACTCTCCATTTAATTCTCTAAAGTGTTCTAGTTTGGATGGTGGATTTTTATGGACATTTTACAATTTGATAAATGATACTGACTTACTCAAATACCAGTCTCTAGAGTCGGCAATATTAACTGTATATGGAACAATTGTCTGGTTTTCTTCCTCTTCTTTGAAGCTTCTCTGAGGTTCTTTGTGTTCTTACCATCACTGTTTTTACTTTTATTGATTTAAATCTATAGCTCTTTCATGCCTATTTCTATAACCCATTTGGTGCCACTCTTACAGTGGAGTTCAAATTGTTATGTTGAATAAATGACTTTGGAACTGTGATTCATAAGCAGAATTAGTGGGGCCCTTTGTGGCCTGGTAAAAATTAAAATTCTGGACAGTTGCTATTATTTGCAGTTAGGAAGGAATGAAAAGGAGGGTAAAAGGGAAAGAAGAGAGATTAGGGAGATTGGGCAGAAAGTGACAATTTTTTCTAACACTGATTTTGTTTAAATTTAAAAGTTTTTGGGCATGGTGACTTGGTGGCATTTTGTGCTAGTTTGCCATATTGCTATAAAATTCACTTCAGAAACTAAGAATTTTTTTTAAAGTCTTTATTCATTTGAGAGAGAGAGAGTGTGTGTGTGTGTGTGTGTGCTCACAAGCTGGGGGAGGGGCAGAAGGAGAGGGAGAAGGAGGGAGCCAGAGCAGGGAGCCTGACACGGGGCTTGATCCCAGGACTTGATCCCAGGAGCCCCGGGATCATGACCTGAGCCGAAGGCAGATGCTTAACCAGCTAAGCCACCCAGGTGGCCCCAGAAACTAAGAATTTAACATAAGGAATAAATTTTTTATTTTTCTATTTTGATAAAATATTAAATCCTAAGCAAGTTTATTTTGATTCCTATTTTGTGTATTTTAACATGTATTTTGTTACTTTATATGAATTGCATTATAGTCAGAATATAAAACGATGAGAATAATGTTTATATGATGTGTTATTTTAAAATCATTAATATTTTTAGCCAGTTATTTATCATTTCATTGGCTATGAGGAATTTCAGACCTGTGCAGTGAAATGAAGCCCATTTAAACTGACTAGTAATTCTATAATTTTTCTTTTACAGGTCATGTAATGTTTGCCGAAATAAAAATGGAGAACGGAAAGTCAAAAGGCTGTGGAACGGTCAGATTTGACTCCCCAGAATCAGCTGAAAAAGCCTGCAGAATAATGAATGGCATAAAAATCAGTGGCAGAGAAATCGATGTTCGCTTGGATCGTAATGCATAATTTTAAACCACGGTTGGAACATTCTTACATCTGTTTTGCTGAATCTCCTAGTAAAAAGTCACTTTTTTAGTAATACTGTATGCTTACAAAAGCTGTAAAAATGAACTTTTAAAACTCCCACCAGCTTTTAACAGTATAGTGTTAAATATACTGTGATTTTTGTTAATCTCAAGTTTGGGTTTTTAAAGACAGCAAGTCGGTCATTCAGTTTAAATGAATGGTTATACTGTTTTTAATGAAATAAGCCATTTTCTTGTTGTTACTTTCAGTAGTACATAGTGGGATTTGTTTGTTCAAGTTTCCTCAGCTTTTATCAGCTTACTGTAAGGTAAAACATAGATGATTTTTTCAAAACTTACGTTTTATATATGTAATTGTCCTTGAAAAGAAAGGGCTCAGACAAATTAGGATGTGATTTTGGCTGGTTTTAAATTACTTTTCTTTGGTGATAAAGCATTATTGTAAGTAAGTTTTAGATTCTAAAGTTCAGGGTATTTTTTATTTCACTTAAATGAAGAAATGGAGTTTTCCTTCTCTTCCCTCTCCCATCATTCACATTTTCCACATAACACTATTAATATTAACCTCCACAGCCCCTTATTTTATTATTTCCAATGATTCCAAGTTCATATAGAACTGATAATGTGGCAATCCCCAAGTATAATAGCAGGCAGACTACTCCCAGCTTTCTGTCTAGTTTCCAGCCATTGAAGTGAACTGCTGAAAAAAGAAAAATAATCGAAATGTTGAGAGCGATGGTTATGTAAGTTAGTCCTCTGCTGTTCACTTCTATAGGAGCTGATGCATTTATAAATGCAGTTTTAATAAACCATGGGACACCTAGGCACAGCATATCAAACACATTGGATCCCACGATGTTAGACATAGCCATATCTCCTTTGCCTGCAAAAAAAAGCATGTTGTTAAAATGTGCGCACCAATACTGTATTTTATTAATAAGCTTCATAAAAAAAACACTGGAAAGTTTTTTTATTTGTTGGTTTTGGAAAATTGTTATATTAGGGCAAAAGTCTTACTGAATTTGTATTTTTTAATTTGGGCGGGTTAGTATTTAAAGTCTTAACATTTATTTAATAATAATTATCTTTATTTATTAAACCATTTTTCAATAAGGTCTGTAGATTACTTTGTTGCTTTCATTCTAATTTAATACGGTTAATTACAATTTGATGCACATTTTAGATAAATATTATTTGGGGGATTAGATTTAGTGAAATTACTCTGCTATTAAAAGTAAATCCTTCTTTTTGAGTCACTCTTTTTTTTCTTCAAAGTATGTTAACTGAGGAAATAAATATTTTTAAAGGTACCTTTGCTCAGTGTATTTCAGCCAGGCTTGAAGAATGGGCATTGTAGCTTGAGGGACCTAGCTCTTACCTTTTCTTGCAACCAGTACACTTGCAATCGTGTCTGGCAGACTTGTTCCTGCTGCTAATAAAGTAAGGCCCATTACTGTATCTGGAATTTCTAATGTCTCCCCTGTAATAAACAGAGATACTTCAAGTTGCAAATCTTACAGATTCAATGACCATTCTCTGCAGTTACTTCAGATATTTCCTTCCTGAACAAAAAGAAAATAGGCACATTTAGATTTTACAACCAATATGTACTTAGATTTTACCTAGCAAAATATTTGAATAAGATTGGTAAATTGGTTAGCCCAGGTAGCACAAATTTTTAATGACAGATATCTAAAGATATTTAATAGAATTCTACTAAGGAGTAATTCCCCTACCTGGTATGCTTACAGAAGGTTTAGATGTTCACTGTTATCTCATCAAGGCTGTTGCTTAATATATGCTGAGATTGGTCATTTTCTGCCTTTCAAACTATTTTCTTAAAGTGGTCAGAATTAAGCAAACTGTTTATAGCTATTTTTAACCTGTAAATGTGTTAATATGGTACACATTTTTTAAGTCGTACTTTGGTGATCTATCTTAAACACAGGAAAACAAAAATAGGGTTCTACTTGAGTCTTCCTAACATTATGGTCCTGTTCTGTTAAATTTGGTATTAGTTCAACTTTTTCAGAAATATGTTCATTCTGGGAAACAATCAGAGGGAAGTTAAAAAAAAAGTACATGTAACTGCTCTTTTAATGTTGTGATTGAAAATTTACTTTAGAATCTTCTTTTTTTTTCTTAAGATGTCAATTAAAAGAACTTTAGCTGTTTATTGCATGCTTTATATATTGATATTGGAATTGTAATTGGTTGTTAATTTTTGTTACTGGTTTGCCAGAGTTCATGTGTACATAAATAACACTAGTAGTATTTATCATCTTGGGGGCTATTCTATGATCTGTTACTTGATTTTGTTCTTTTCCTGATTTCCTATTGTGAAATATATTCTGGCTGAGAAAATTTAGAGAGATTTAATATGCAAGCTAATTGGACTTCTTCATCTTTCTCATTAAAAAGAATATTCTGCTTTCTTGCTAGTATGCTATTCTAAGTCACATATTAATTTGTGAAAAGTCAGGGATCAGCAACCTTTTTTTTGTAAAGGGCCAAGTAGTAACTACTTTAGGCTATGCAGGCTTATTATATGGTTTCTGTTGCAGATATTCACCTCGGCCACTGTAGTGTGAAAGCATCCGTAGATAACATATAAATGAATTACATGAACGGGCATGATTATGTTCAGTAAAACTTCACTAGCGATAACAGGAGACCTGGTCATTTGGTCACACAGGCCATAGTTTGCTCACCTCTGATCACCTCTGATGTGTCCATTCAGGTTAACCTTTTTGAGAGAAATTCTTGTTTGTTTGTTTTTTTTTCCTATGTTTGTATTCAGTTTTTCCTCCTGGAGTCCTGTGGGACTAGAGCTGATTATGGCCAAGCAGTAATATTTAAATTTTAATCATGAAGGTAGTAGAGACCTAAATTGAAATTTTATTTTATGCCCTTTTCACCCATTTCATAGTTTGTTTATATGTCCATATTAAAAAGCAAAATGAAATGCACTCCAGTTAAACAGTGAGCATACATTGTTTTCTTAAAATGCTGGCCTCTTGCTATATTTTTCATTATGGAATGAATTTCAGTATAAAAAGTATATTGTGGACCCCATACGATGTGATTTAATTATTAGAGCAATAGGAAGAAATCCTGTGTATTTGATTTCGTTTATAAGAAGATCCCATGACTTGTAACTCTGGGCTGTATAATATTGAGAATATAGTTGATATGTAATATGCAACTTACCCTGAATGATCTTGTTGGTATATTAATATTTAATCTTTTTGTAAGTAGCGCTTCTCTTTGGTCTTTGCTGAAAGAAAAATTTCCTCCGTAGCTAGACTACTTTTAGTGAATATATGCAGTTTGTTCTTCAATAAAACTGATTATTTTCTTTTTAAATTGTGCTCTTATACTAAAGATACATACCAGTTATTGTGACCATCCAAACCAGGATATATGTAAATGCAGATATCCATAGTGCTGACATGAAAAATGTTATCACAAAATAATTTTTCCAAAACTTTCTTCTACAATCTGGTGTGGTTAGAAAAAGTAAGGTAATAATAGGAAGGGATAGTACCCAAAAAATTCTTTTGAAGTCTGCTTCAGGCATGTTGAAAACACTTGGTGGATCTGTTGAGGAAAAAATAAATGATTTTGAGTTTTCTCAAATGGCCAGTTAAGTTGGAAATGTCCATTTAGAAAGCTATATTGAAATAAATTAGCTGTATCAGTTTTTAAGAAGCTATTTAAAACATCTGAATACCTCATTACTGATATTGCTGGCAAAAAGAAACTAATTGAGACTTTAGGGCAGACAATATAAAATGTGATACTCAGTGTTTCTTGAGTTGGGGCCTTAAATCCATCAAAATATCTTGGCTCATTCACTAAATATATTAGATGTAATGTTTATGAAGTGTCAGTTGGACTTCTCTTGGTTTTCTACAATGTGGGTGGTGTTTAGTAACTTTTTTTTTGCATATGGGATCAACCTGGCTTCTACCTATTTATAGCTATTATAGTTGTCTCTGTTCCCCAGTATTGATGATGTTTCTAGCCTGCCCTGTATGTCAGATAATGCATACTTAGGAAGTATAAAATAATTACAGCATAATCTTTTTGTGAAGTTGAATATTCCATTCTAATTCTCATTGTAAGTGAATTTTGGAGGCTTGCTTCATTTTTTTTTCTTATATTAGTTTCCCAGATTTGGAATTCACTACAGTTCTTAGGAAGAACCTTTAAGAAAATAGGAACTAGCGTGGGATCTACAGTGTAACTTACAAAACTTGAGTATATTCCTTTATACATTTGTTTTACTAAATTAATGGAAGACAGTAATATATTGGATAAAAATAAGCGTTCACTTCAAAATTATTCAAAATTTGCATGGCATTTACAAAAGAATGTACCCATATATTGGATCAAATTACAACTAACGCTAGTAAAATAACTCATGAAAAAAATTTGCCAAGCCTCAGCCAATGGGCCACTAAGTAAATTTTAGATATAATCTCAGTGTAATGAAAAAATTTAGAGTGGTTCTTTTGAATTTCTTGTTATAAAATTTAACTTGGCAATATATACCACTTGCACTTGAAAGGCTAAAAACTATAATTTTTGTAAGAAGGGAAAAAGTTTTGTTTAAAATTTTTTTTAGGTAGTAAAAGAATAACTTTCCTTCCCAATGTACTTAGATAAATTTAGAATCTGTTTCATACAACCACTTTGTAAAAAACTAACACATAAATTTTTATTTCTGGCCATAGATGAATTTGACTTCTACTAAATATCTAAATGTTTTGCTACTGCTTCAGATGACATGTTTAAAACTCAGCTTTTCTTTTTTCCCACACCAGCCCTTTTTGCTAAATTCCAACTTTTTGTAAGTGGTGTTCACATTTTCTCAATCAATCACGAACAAAGCCTCAGAATTTTCTCTGCTCCCTTTTCTGGCCCCAGATAGTCCTTCTGTTGCCTCGTCTTGGTGGTGCTTCCTCTGCATTGTCTTTTTTATTCCTACTTTTCTTCACTCTGTCTAGGCATCTACCAAACACATCAGCTGTTTTAGTAGCCTCTGACAGACCTCCATTTCTTTTATCCTCTAATTTCCCTGCTTCATAAACCTGCAGAGACTTGTATACTAGCATTTAAGACTCTTCCTATCCTATTCTTTCCTATCTTTTCTCTGCTTCCTTACTGTGTACATTCTGTGCTCCAGGTATGCTAATACTTGAATAGGCCTTTTGCTAATATTAATTCCTTAGCATCAATTTATAGAGTATACTTTACTCTTACTTCTACATCATTTACATAATAGACTGCTGTAGCTGTTACTTATTGGTCATAAATCACGTCATCAGCTAAAATCTGATTAATTCTATAAGGCTCAGTTTAAATGCTCCCTTCTCTGTGATAATCTTTTCTATGTAGCCATCAAATTTTATACAGTCTGTCCCATTTAGGAACTACAATTACACTTTTCTCTTTATAGTACTTAAACCTTCATATTTTAGCTATTTTCTTTTTTTCCGTACAGCATTAGAAGCTTCTTAAGGATAGGGACCACCTCTTCATCATTTCTGACTCTCCCCAGGATCTTTTACATAAGTGTATATAGTAATTGCTGAATTGAAATGAGATTAAGTTTTTCTAGTGAATAGACTTAATAGTGGGCATGATGTGCTTCTTACCTTCAGAAACCTGACTAAGATCGTGTAAACTTAAAGGAAGCTGAGAGTAGCCAGACTCTTCATGAAATATCCCACTGTCAGTTCTTGATTGCCGATGGATGAATGGCTGACCCTCATCTTCCCACCCCATCAGTGGCTGTTGTTCACTTCTCTCCTCCATAGCTTCAGCAAGACAGGGGCAGCAAGGACTGAATTTCTTTATAATATATTGGTTAATTTTAATGTCAAAACACAGCACCAAAACATATAATCCATATATCAAAAGCAGCAAAGTTCCTTCATACCTATAAATTAAAGAAATTTGTTTTAAAATTAAAAATAAAAGTTTTTTTTTAGGGTTAATAGCTTTTGGGCAGTATCTGCTTAATAATTTTCCAGCAATAGAACAAGCAAAGAACATTTCTAGGTGTATTTTGGTTTTATAGATGTGTCCTAACTTGGTTACAGCATTAACTATAAATTTATTGATAAAAGCTTGACAGTCCTTTTTATATTTCAAATAAAACCAAGAATTATAAACTCACTGTCTTCATTTACAGATTCTTTATAAACGGTAGGCATAAACAGTGCTTTGAAAATAATTGTAGATTTTTCAGAGTAAAAGTTAATGAATAGCGATGGGCATTCTCCATCTCAGTTCATTGGCAGCATCCATTCCCCAAAATATATAGTAATTATAAAAGAATATAATATCTGTTAGTTCATTTCAACTGTGTCTATTCAAATCTGGTATAAGAATTTTGTGTAAAATATTCAGATATATGAGACTTTGGGACTTTTCAGTTTACAGAGATTTTTTTTTTTTAATTTTGGTGTAACCGACTTTGACTTGTATTCGCAAGAAAATGAGGATAGTCCTAAAAATAAAATTATACCTTAGGCACTGAGAACTGTTGCCCTATGCTTTGGTTTCCTAAAGAGTTATGATTAGCTAATATCATTAATTTGAACCTGTCATTTACCTTTTATTTTATAAATAAAATTTTGGGAAATAGACCAGATTTTAGGAAGATTCATTTAGAAATTTTTCTCCCTGCTAGATTTTAAGTTTCTTATTAGCAGATATTTTGCAGGGTTGCTAAGTTGTAGTCCTCCAGAAAGGTGCCATTTATATTGTTTTCTATTTTTCTGGTATCCTCTGGCATAGTGCAATGCACAACCTCTGTGGCTGTGCATTGTACATTCCTCTCTATCCCTTATGATTCCTAGCATAGTGTTAAACACCTCATAGATACCTGGATCTTATTAGTTGAAAAAGTTATTTGCTGTCCACTGAGTCACCCTGTTTCATTTTCTTGCAACAGCAAGATACTGGGAGGTTACAAAGAAAGCAAACAATTGTTAATACCTAAATATTGTTGATCCTTAGAGGAAGAAAGCTGTAATTCCTCTTGCTAAATGAACATCAGAGAAAAAGTTAGAAGAATCTGAAGATTTTATTTTTTATTATGTTAATCACTGTACATTACATCATTAGTTTTTGATGTAGTGTTCCATGATTCATTGTTTGTGCATAACATCCAGTGCTCCATTCAAGAATCTGAAGATTTTAAAATTTACTTCCTCCATCATTTCTCTCCAGTCTTGTGACCATGACCACTTCTAACCAAGGCAAGGTAAACAACCCAATAAATGAAAGACCCAACTGTTGGGTCTTTAATGGACAACAGAAGGGGAGACTTTCTGAACAGGCAGTGGGGTGAAGGAAGGTTGGTAATATCCAGTGATTAGTGAGACAAGGAGACTGACATGACTATAGAACTTTGAAAGAAGGGAAAACCCAACCAGCAGCTGTGATGAGGAAGTTAGCTCAGAGGCATATGGGGAAATGGTGCAGAAGTAGCAGGTAATTGAGAACTCAGTGACTGAAATAACATTTCTGAAAAAGACACATTGCCAAACCATTGGAATTTCATAAAATCCTCTCTGTAATTGTGTTTTACATAAGAGTAATGATTATTTCAAGCTTACCAGTAAACTTGGTTGTCGAATATTATGCCAAGAACTGCAGCTACACTAATTGCATATGCTGCACAGTCTCTGAATAGGGGCCAACATGATAGCGTTGAGACCTGTAAAATGATAATTCACTGTTTCCATTACACTGTAACTTCGAGCACATGCTTAGCGTAATACTGAAAATTGTATGTTTGTAGCTAAATATTGTTATCTTTTGCATTTTGCTTAGAGACAAAGGAATTTTAAGAAAAATTGTGTTTCAAAGCCTGTTAGGTTTTCATAAATTTGACCAAGAGCTATTTGTGGGTTAACTTTAAATGGAATACATGTTTTTCTACTGATTAATAAATTTGATTGAACACATTACTAGTGCCTTGTTTGTTCTAGACTATAAACAGTTTTTATAGTTTGTCAAACAATAAATGCGTTGAATGAAGTTTTCTTACATACCACGTTAGATAGCAAGCCACAAGCTGCACAGATGCCAAAGAGGTTATACATTGCAGATCCAAGGATGGTGCTAATGCCGATATCTCCCTTTGTGATAAATACACCTATGAGCGAGGTAATTGCTAAGTTAGTGTTACTAGACTTGAAGAACAGAAGAGAAAAGCACATTGAGTAAGCAGAAAATATAAGGAGCAATATTTACCCAGGAAAGCAGTAACTAACTCAGGAGCTGAACTACCGGCTGCCATAAAAGTTGCACCTGCAACATCCTGAGACAATCCAAGGGCTGAAGACAAACGAAATTCTGTTAAAGTGGCAAATGAAAGGGTATGTCTCTATACCTGAATATTCAAATCTACAGCTTCACAGAAAAGCAGTGATGGTGACTTAAACTGGAAAAATAAAACATGCAGGTTAAAAAAATTAGAGGAATCCAATGCCTTGCTTTCTCTATGAATTCATTACTTAATGTTTTGGTAGAAAGGGAGAGAAGGCCATGGACTACTGGAACTGTGCTGTGACTCGGTATTGTGAATGCCAAGATACGGGATTTTGTAGGAGCCAGAAAAGATTCCTTTCTAGCTGTATGGCTTGTAGGTGTATAGTGACAGCATAAGTTCTCTAAAGTGACACTGTCAACAGTACTTCAATAGGAGTTGGGAAAGTGAAGTCTTTCAGGAGTCATAATCCAATTTGAAAGAGGAGGAAAAAGTGAATATTGGTAGTTTTTAGGACCTGTAAGTGAACCTGAATTAAGGAGCTTATTCACAAATTAGCAATGTCAACCTTGTCAAAACAAATGAGAGGAAATTGGTTAACGAGGAACCAAAAAGATTTACTATTGTATAATTAAAATCTATTGATTTAAAACATAAAACCATTAAAACTTTGCTCTAGAATAGGAAATATAAGAAAATACTACTATTCAAATAGTTTGTGTATATCCCCCAGACTTACAAGCGTGCAAATCCATTATCTTCAGTGATTGCTGGGATGAGAATCTTAAGAAACTTTTGGCTCTTTCAAGTTTAGAGCTAAGGCATCTACTATGGAAAGGAAGAGAAAGCCATGTTGAAACCTTGCTTTGGGGAGGCCAAGACAGGTTGCATCAGAAATCCCCAACCGGGCTTTACTGGTACACTAAAAAGTAGCATGCTTTTTTATTCTTGGTCTGGCAGATTGTATTTTACAAAGATGGCTATGATTTTTGCATCCATGTGATTTTCCAGAACCTTTCCATTTCCTGCCTCCCCCCCACCCCGAAAGAGTTTATGTGTCCTCCTGTGACTGCTTTGACTAACAGAATATGGTGGAGCCAGAATATTTCTGAGGCTGGGACATAAAAGGTGACAAAACTTCCTCATGGTTCTCTCTCTAGGGACCTTTGCTTTAGGGCCCTAAGCCACCACATAAAACTCCAACTTCCATTGAACTCCTGTACTGGAGATAGCTCATGAAGAGCCCATACAGAAATAGAGATGCCTGATGCACCCTTACTATTTCAGCCCCCCAGATTTTGAATTTCCCTGTCCCAGGCACCAGACATGTGAAAGGGAGGAAGGTGTCAGATAATTCCAGCCATCTAACTATCACTGCATGAGAGACCTCAAGCCGAGCTACCAGCCGAGCCTGGTAAACCCTCAAAGCTGTGAGAGGTAATACGGTGATTGTTGTTTTACCACTAGTTTTGGGGTAATTGGTTAAGCAGCTATTGATAACTGGACACCTGGCTATTATTCACTGAATTTGTTACACTTTCTGAGTACCTACTATGCCAGATGCTTTTTTAAGTGCTAAGAATACGGCAGAAAAAACAAATGTTTCTGCTCTTGTGGAACTTGAATGAAAAGAAACAGACAAGATAAGCAAAATATGTGTTGTGTTAGATTTTTGATGTTACTATTGGAATTGTTTGGGGTTGCCATGAACCGCACTCGTATGAGACAGTGAATTTAACTGATAAATACTCTATGTGTTGTGACCACTCCACCAACTGGTTATTCTGCTGTTTCTCTCCCTCTCCTCAGGCCTCCCTATTTTCTGAAAATAGGCCAATGAATAACCCTACCATGGCATCTAAATGTTCAAGTGGAAGGAAGAGCTGCACATCTCTCACTTTAAATCAAAAGCTGGAAATGATTAAGCTTAGTGAGGAAGGCTTGTTGAAAGCAGAGATGCGCCAAAAGTTAGGCCTCTTATGTCAAACAGCTAGCCAAGTTGTAAATGCAAAGGAAAAGTTCTTGAAGGAAATTAGAAGTGCTACTCCAGTGAACACACAGAAGGTAAGAAAGTGAAAACAACCTTATTGCTGAGATGGAGGAAATTTCAATGGTCTGAATAGAAGATTGAGCCAGACACAACATTCCTTTAAGCCAAAGCGTAATCCACAAAGCCCTAACTCTCTCTAATTCTATGAAGGCTGAGAGAGGTGAAGAAGCTGCAGAAGAAAAGTTTGAGGCTACCAGAAGTGGTTCATGTGATTTAAGGAAAGAAGCCACCTCCATGTCATAAAAGAGCGAGGTGAAGCTGCAAGTGCTAATGTAGAAGCTGCAGCAAATTATCCAGAAGATTTAGCTCATTAATGAAGGTGGCTCCACTAAACAGATTTTCCATGCAGACAAAACAGTGTTCTATTGGAGGAAGATGCCATCTAGGACTTTCATAACTAGAGAGAAGTCAAAGCCCGGCCTCAAGACTTCAAAAACAGGTTGACTCTCTTGTTAGGAGCTCATGCAGCTGGTGACTTGAAGTTGAAGTCAATGCTCATTGACCATTCTGAAAATCCTAGGGCCCTTAAGAATGATGCTAAATCTACTCTGCCTGTGCTCTAGCAATCCTAGATGGCAGCACATTTATTTACAACATGGTTTACTGTATATTTTATGCCCACTGTTAAGACCTGCTGCTCAGAAAAAAGATTCCTTTCAAAATCTGTTCATTGGCAATGCACCTGGTCACCCAAGGGCTCTGATGGAGATATACGAGATGACTGTTGTTTTCATGCTAACACAGCATCCATTCTCTAGCCCCATGGGTCAGGAAATAATTTCAACTTTCAAGTCTTATTATTATTTTTTGTTTGTTTGTTTCCATTTTGAGTAATTTTTTTTTATTCTTATGTTAATCCCCATACATTACATCATTAGTTCTCAAGTCTTATTATTTAAGAAATATATTTTGTAAGACTGTAGCTGCCATAGATAATGATTCCTCTGATGGATTTCAGCAAAGTTAATTGAAAACCTTCTGGAAAGGATTCGCCATTCTAGATGTCATTAAGAACATTCATGATTCATGGGAAGAGATCAAAATATCAACAGAACAGAACAGGACTATGGAAGAAGTTGATTCCAATCCTCATGGATGACTTTGATGACTTCTTCAGTGACTGCAGATGTGGTGGGAATAGCAAGAGAACTAGAATGAAAAGTGGAGCCTGAAGACGTGACTGAATTGCTACAATCTCAGGATAAGACTGTAAAGGATGATAGGAGTTGCTTCTTATGGATGAGCAAAGAAAGTGGTTTCTTGAGATGGAATCTACTCCTGGTGAAGATGCTGTGAAGACTGTTAGAATGAAAACAGAGGATTTAGAGTATTGCATAAACTTAGTTGATAAAGAAGCAGCAGGGTTTGAGAGGATGGACTCCGAATTTGAAAGAAGTTCTAGTATGGGTAAACTGCTACCAAACAGCATCGCATGCTACAGAGAAATTGGTCATGAAAGGAAGAGTCCATCATTGTGGCAAAGGTCACTGTTGTCTTATTTTAAGAAATTGCCATAGCCACCCCAACCTTCAGCAACCACCATCCCAATCCATCAGCAGCCATCAAAGCTGAGGCAGGACCCTCTACCAGCAAAAAGATGATGCACTGAAAGCTCAGATGATGGTTAGCATTTTTTTAAGCAAAATATTTTAAGATGAAAGTATGAACATTTTTTTAGTCATAATGCTATTGCACACCTAATATAAACATAATTTTATACGCACTGGGAAACCAAAACATTGATTTCACTCACTTTATTGTGGTGTTCGCTCTGTTGTGGTGGTCTGGAACCAAACCTGCAACATCTGAGGTGTGCCTGTATCTAGGGTAAGAGTGCTCTAGGCAGGAGTGAGTGCCAAGATTCCATGGTGGAGGCTATCCTGTGTGTTCAAGAAAGAGGAAAAGGCTGGTGTGTCTGGAATAAAGAGTGTGAAGGGATGGCAGAAGGGGATAAGGTAATAGGTGGCCAGATCATGTAAGACTTGTGAATCCTAGCAAGGATTTTAGCCTTTATTTTGAAAGATATGGGAAATGCTTGGGTAGGCATCCACATACTTCCTGTCAATGATACCAGCCCTGGTCATCTTTTTTATCATGGGGTTTTTTGGTCTCAGAGACCAGCTGTAGGCTGAGCCATTTTGCCACCTGTTAAGTGTCTCTTGTGAAAAATCCTCTTAGGAGAGTTGGAATGATCCCTCACTATTTGCCTTTGGTCATGTTGCTTGGTGAACATGTTGCAGTGATGAATGAAGTGAGAGAAGTAATGTTTCGTGGAACATATTTCATAACATTTCTTTTGCTGGTTAGAGTATCTATCTATCAATCTATCATCTATATCTATCTATCTATCTATCTATCTATCTATCTATCTATCTATCTATCTATCCATCCATCCATCTATCCCTGTGATGGCATATTACTCTGTGAATAACTTTTTTCATTTTGGGAATGACATAAGTAATATCTTACATTAATGGTATACAACTCACTTTCATATACATAATTTAATCATCTCAATTATTCTCAGGTATGAGTGGTGGTATTTCCATTTTACAGTTGAAGACACAGGTCCAGGGAGTTAAGTAACTCTGGTACATGGATAGTAAGGATCTTCAGTGTGAGGAGTTAGGGCATACAGCCTGAGTCTGTTGTTTCTAAATCCAATGCTATTTCTATTTTACTGCAGAAACCCAATGTAAAAATGGCACTCAGGCAGGCCAATTATAACATGATGGGTAACTGAGTTATTTTATTCCCTGTTTTTTGGCATGGGCATATAACTGCCTCCATTCTAGTCTTTCCTAGGGGAACTAATAGTTACCAGGCGTCAGGGGTACTTAGGAAGTTTTCCAGCATATTTCAGAGGATGTATCAACTGAGTGATATTGGATATTGGATTATCATGAATTCTCTAATCAGATCAGGGCCTGATAATATGTGGATGAAGTTGATAAGAACAATATGCTTTATTTTGAACTAAATGTCCAAACTCGGTGCAGCTGAAGAGTGAATGACCAATCTTTGCTTAATGCTAGCTGAAGAATGTTTCATTAGAAAAGTTCAGTCTCAGGAGGGAAAAGGTGATCTACTGAGCTGTTTGTTGCAAGGTAGAAAAATAAGTGGCCCTTCTGAACACTTCCACTATCAAAAGGCAGTAACAATAAAGCTTGTTGCTGTTCACTGGGCTCTAATTGAGTTATGAAAGGAAAGATTCTATAAAGATGGATGTATAAAGCTTCAAAGATATTTTAACAAGTTATATCTTAAGGTTCTAAGAATATTTTGTAAAATGGTTTATACCTTTGAACTTTAGAATAGACTGACTTTGTCTTCGCTGACCTTTGGGTAGCATTTCTCTCTGCTATAGTTTATTATTAAAGATAAATTGTTCTGGTTTTTTTCCCCCCAGAGCTATTACTTTTTTCCTCTTTACTTCTCTAAAGGAATAATCACATTTCCCTCAGGATATAGGAGAACTGTTCAAGGTGAATTTTCTTTATAGGTTTAGATATCATTACATTGTTTATATAAAGTGCAACTTTATGATAATGAGCTGTGGTCCATGGGGACCACGACTTAGACCAAAACTCATCAGGCTTTTTCTTAAGCATATTCTCTTCTCTGATGCCATGTTGAAAAGCTTGTAACAGTTTTTGAAAACTCTCTTCTGGGAATATAATATAGTAGGAAGAGCTTTAAACTAAAATGGAGACCTGTATTCTGGCCCTGCCCTAATATGAGACT